GAGGTAATAATCGGAAAAAAAAAGTGACAAAAAATATGTATATAAGCTACTTCAATTAGCTTTTTAATATTATATATAAGCAAAATACAAGATACAAGGTGTATTTCATCAAATACGTTTATTGTTTAATTTATTTTAAAATAAGACATATAAACCAAACCCAATGTAATCGCAAACTTCACACCATAAGCATATACAAAGCACCTGAATCATTCAGGGATACGGAAATATATTGGTATGGGATTATTAGGCTCCGGTGAAGCATCCCACACTGTAAAAGCACTTGCTGAGTTCATCCATCGATCGGTCATCTCAGGGTAATGTCGGTTTAACACGTCTTTTAAGCTTTCCGTTGTGTTCACCCATTCAAACCCTTTCTTTGTGTACACGTCTTTGTTAAAGTCACTCGTGAAAAATCTATCTGCCTCCAGTCTCCTGCAAATTTTGATTAATTAATATTTTTGTTTTAGTTTACATATTTTCGGATTTCGCTTAGTGTCGAGTGCATGTACCTGGATGCCATGATGATAAAAATTAGAAAAGCTGTTTCGCTAATGGCGAACCCTTTGATCTTTTTCTCAGCTGCCATTCCTACCAATAGATCGAGTTGCTCCACATCGTCATTGTACACTTCACGCAATGTGTCAATAGCTTCTTTATCATCAGTTAGTTCATCCCATTTTGAGATCGGGATCAAGAAAAGCGATCTGCGGAAATCATTGTATCTTGCAACGTTCCTCTCTCTATCTCTGTAAACTGCATTACCATGTATTTTAATAAATTCATTCGTTCTTATAATTTTATAATTGACTGCCTAATAATTGTAATAGTACATAATCAAGATCAAGTTTAGTTATATAAAAAAAAAGATGCTTACTCTCGAGTGAAGGTAAGTCAACATGATCGGGCCGATCTGTGCCGTCAATGTTTTGAGGCACAATGTCCCTAAGCCACACCGGATAATTCCACAGTTCAAGTGCACCACACGCTTGATGTCCCATTGATACCATTTGTGTTGTAAATCCAATGTTCGATAATTCCTTCTCCCCTCTCCACCCAATCAAGTTTATCATGTCCATCCTATCAGTTTTTTATAAATATTTCAAAATTTACATCAACAATAATTATCTTTTCGATGAAACAACTTAACAAAGATCAACCCAAATCGTGTTAATCATCATAAATCATTTTTACAGCAACAAAACCGACAGATCTACTGAATTTTTTTTATAATCAAGGTCCAAAAGATCTTACTTTTTAGTCAGCTTCGGAGACTTGTTCGGACCCGGTGTTGAATTAACATCTCTAACAAAAAGTTGATCAGGTAAGAGAGAGTGCATTCTGTAAACGCTCACAAATTCTTCGGTTAACGAGTAGGGTACGCCATGGTTATTGGGTTTCTTTAACCCTACAAGACCTCCCAAAATGGCTCCTCCAACATGGCCAAATGTGTCCTTGAATTTTTTTCCCAGTAGCCCATACCTGAAGTATATATAATCCATTTTACAAAAATAAATTATATATATGTATATATATATATAGAGAGAGAGAGAGAGAGAAGTGGGGGAGTAGGTTCATACGAGAATGATACATCTTTAAAAAATATAAAAAATCACATGTCATTTTACATTAACGGGCAAAAAGGTGGGTGCGGACGGCTTTGGCCGCGACCTCAGGACGCGGGACAAAAGTTGTGTGAATCACATGTGATTTTATACGTGATATCAGCGACGGATCTGCAAGGGAATTTCAGCGATCCCTCAGTGATCTGCGAGGGATTAGCGATGGAATGAGTTTTTGGCCAGATCCCTCACTGATCTGCGAGAGATCAACGACGGAATGACCAAAAACTCATTTCGTCGCTGATCAGCGTGAGAATCTGTTTTTGGTTTTTTTTCCTCACTAATCTCTCGCTGATTAGCATGGGATTTTTCCCCTCACTGATCTGTGAGGGATCAGCGACGGAATGACCAAAAACTCATTTCGTCGCTGATCTGCGTGGGAATCTGTTTTTGGTTTTTCCGTCGCTAATCTCTCGCTAATTAGCAAGGGATTTTTTCCCTCGCTGATTTTCGTTGATGATACCTTGTTTTTTAGTAGTGTATAAAATCACATGTGATTTGACTATTTTCTTGTTTTCTTAAATATGAATTATGTATCATTTTCGTATGAACCCAACATTTTCTCTCTCTCTCTCTCTCTCTCTCTCTCTATATATATATATATATATATATATCTCACAAAGGTATATTAACTAGTTAACTAATAAATTTCAACTAATCTAAGTACCAGTTAGCTCTCATTGCTACATGAAGCATGTCAGTTTTGAGAAGTTCAACGGTCCAGTCGATGGTGTGGATCTTGGCAATGACAGCAGAAGTTACTAGTCTTGCATAACGATATAGATCTTCATCACCCAGGTCATGATATTCTTTCTGATTACGATTATAAAGTTTGCAAATGAGCATTGCCAATAAATTGAAGTTCATTATTAAGCGAATTGATGCATGTATACTAATACGTATGTACCTTCAACGTGTCACAAATAGCATTGTGCTCAAGGATGAAGAGGGCTTGCAAGGTTGATAGACCAATCCAACCGTTACGAACATCCCCTGATAACGGAATTCCATGATCGTCATGTTGGAGGAGCCCGTCTTTTCCAATCTTGAGCTTTCCGTCTTCGAATGTTCTCAATTGATGCAACTTACTCGAGTTACTTCCGTATATTGCGCTCCCATCCCTAAAAGATTTAGCTTAGCTTCATATTATATATATGTATATATATATAGATATATATATATATATATATATATATATATTAATAGACGAAAATTTCTTGCAATCGACTTAAATGGTTGAAATTAGATTAGTTGAATGTTCATACCACCAGGGGGTTCTGATATTGAGATGACCTTTCTTGATGTCATAAAAACCGGTATCAACTTCTTTAGTTTTGTAAAACTTGAAGGATTGGAGTGGGCATTGATTGGCGACTTCTTCAGGAGCATTCAACTCAATCTGGTCATGTAAATCCATGGTCATGTGTTAGCACTTCATGCATGCGTCATAAGTTCTACGTTAATTTAAAGATTATGGATTAATATGCATGGGCCGATGAACTAAACTTGTTGTGTTTCCTCGAGGTGATCGATCCAATCGTGAATCATGAATTGAATCCATGAAGCAGCAATCATGTTGAACTGTTTTCCGGTATCTATAAGTTCTCTGCGTGCCAAAAGCTTCGTTGCCACCACCATAGGATCTGGTTTTAGTAGCTGCATATATAATTAAAGTTAGGACTTCCATTACATTTTCCTAGCACTACTATTCATGGTTTTTGAAATATACCATATTGGCTCAATATATCTAAAATGACAAAATATATGTATATGAAAATTTGTCAAGATCTGTCAAAATAACTATTATATCTATACTATATTATAAAATATTTGACAAAAACTTTTAAAAACAAATTTTTATGCATAAAATACTGTTTACTAATGCATATTACTTAAAATTCAAGATTATAAGTAGAATATGCATGAGTACATCTTATTAAAGCCCCATGTTTGAATTCATGTAACTAACTGCAGATAAACACAATCAAATACATGATAAAAATTATTTTAAATTTAAAAAATCTAAAATATAATTAAGATAAATTATTGAGTTCTAACAAAATACTTAATTATTATCTTAAAAAATTATTTTATTAAACCAAAAATAAATTAGTTTGTTATTAAATTTCATTTGAATTATAATAAAATTTTGAATTAAAGAAGTTGCACAAAAACGAAAACTTTTAAATAGTTAATTTGATACTAATATCGATTATTTTTTTTCAAAATTTTATAATATCTTCAAACTTATATTTCATTCAAAAATAAAAACATTTTATTTTTCTCAAAACCACATAGGATCGCATTATAACATCGATAGACCCAAATTATAAAACAAAACATTAATTTCAAGATGTATCTCGCTGCATTGCACGAGTACCCTCCTAGTATATGATAAAATATATCTTTTGGTCCATATAATTTGTTTTGTGGTTTAATTTTGTCATTAGAATTCATAAAAAATATCAAGATTAAATTATAAAAATTTAAAATGTGATATAACTCTTAATTAATGGTGTTTTAATAACTATTCTAATGCTGTAGCAGGAGGTTAATTAGTAAGAATATACCTTTAACTAATAGTAATTATTTAATATTTTAATTTACCTCATGAAATCTAAGTTTCAAACATATTGAATAATATTCATAAAGTAATTATTCTATTATGTTTTTTTCAATCCAGGGAAGTGTCTGGTCCGAATCAGCTCCATTTGTATATTAAATATATAGTGACGATTATTAATTAACATGTAAAAGTATAAGCAATCTTAAAATAATTTTATAAAATGAGTATTTGAAAGAAAGGCAATTCATAATTAATTAAGCTTAAGGGATTTTCTCATATATATTATTCACATCACTTGGATCAAAAAGTTCCGATCGATCCAACTACCCACCGGCTCTCAGGCACTTGCATGATCATATTCCATGTTTTTTCATAATCAAATCTTAAGAAAGAAAAATTAATCAATGCAATATATATATATATATATATATATATATATATATATAAAATTAGAAAGGGTTGGATGCATGTATATATTCCTGCACACAGAAACCAGAAGTTGGTAAGAGTCCTTCCATGCATAATACATAGATGATAGATACCTTATCTTTCTGATGAACCGGGGGCATGTTCCGGCCAAAGAAAGTTCCCTCACTGCCGGCACCGGCGTTGAAAGGATCATTGAACTTCCCGTCATCTGTCCTGAACGGAAAGTCTCCAGGATTGAAGCGAACACCCACAGGAGTTTTCCCGACGTTGACCAAATTGTATTGCTCATGAAGATACCGGCGTATGGCAAGGTATATGAGCCCCAGAAACACCGGCAGACGGTGCCATTGGATTCTTGACTTATCAACACCATGAATAATCTGCAAAAATGAATTACCAATCAAAAACCCTAGCTACCTAGAATTAATTATGCATTATATATATATATATATATATATATCAAAACTCGGTTGAAGTATAACTATTAAAGAATTTAGTTAATTAATAATTATTATTAAGCAGATTGCAGACGACACGCACAATGAAAAGAAGCCTATCGATGAGCGTCATCGTCTGAAAGATATCATGAAAGTCATCATGGATCAAGTGTTTGATGGGTGAAAGAAGAAGAGATTTGGCAGAAGATAAGAATGGAATCATGTTGATTGTTGAGGGATATTGATATTAATGGTAGATGGATCAAATATGCATGCTTTGTTTTGTGAGATTAGTTGCAATACAAAGATGGCTTATTTATAGACTTATTGTGAAGCTAATTACTTGAGGAAAATGGGTGGGGGCCTCAGTCACAGTCACATCTACCTGTGGATTGATCCATAAACATTAAAAAGAAAGAAACCAAAAAACGAAGAATTGAACAAAGAGGCGATTGTATTAGGGAAAGACGTTTTCAAGATGACCAGAAATTAATTACTTTTCACGCCGATATTGTACAACTACATCATATGGGCCCAACCTCATATCATATATATATTGCTATCCTATCATATATAATTATAATGTTGCTATTGAAATTGCATAAAAAAATCAACTTTCTAAATTTAATTAGCTATATATTTGAAATAGAAACAGATAAAGAATCCCTATTAATCAGTGAAACCTGTAATTTAAAATCGCAAATATTATGATAAATCTTTTTTAGGTATATATCTTGTCTCAAAAATAAAATAATTAGAGATTCGACTTGTCATATATTTAATAAAATATTTAATAGGAATCTTATTTTCCATTAGATTGCAAGATAATTGTAAATGTTTCTAAGAGATAAGCATATGTTTATCTCTTAATTCATTTTTCATTTTATTTATATATCATCTCCTTTTTTTATTTTTTATTTTTCATTTGTGGTGGAAGGCTGTTATTTTAATTTTGGTTATTCACAATATTAATTGTCACAATTAAATAATGCCACATTTAACCTAACGTGTAAAAGTAAACGAAGAAATAAATACAAATTCGGAATGAATTACTGACATCTAGTTTATTTAATTTGCTACCCAATTAGTCCACAAGTCACACCTTACAAATTTCTATTCCCTTTAATTGATATAGTACGTATTTCATTCCGATTTAGTCTTTCTCATGTCTACAAAACATCCTTAAGGTTACGTTTGTTACATGGGACAAGGACAAAACATGATTAACGGGACAAAACTCAATGTTTTTCGTTTGACGCAACATAAAACACAGATAAGAACTTGGATCATGTCGGACCATGGGAGAAAAAAAGGTTTTTTCTTGGAACAAAATGGGACAAGAATGATACATAAGTTGATATATATATATATATATATAACCTTAATATCGTATTTGTTTTAATGGTCACCATCGCTACTCGCATCCACCACCACTATTGGCGGCCACTGATAGCCATCGCCAACCACCTCCTCTTCCACTAGAATAACTTCTTCCACCACCTTCACAACCACTAACGGCCGCCGACCACAACTATCTATCGCCACCACCGTCGACCACCGACCACCACCATCGTCCACCTCACCACCACCATAACCACCACCACCATCATTGGCTACCACTACCTCTACTTCATCGGCCACAACTATCTCCTTCACCACTGTCAATCGCCACTCGCGCCACTATCCAACATCTTCACGTCCTCCACAACCATCGTCGTCCACCAACAACCATTACCTCCACAACCACCGTAAGTCACCAACCACCACCACCCATTGCCACCACCACTAGTACCATCGCTACCACAACCACCATCGGTTATCACCACCACTACCTCCACCGCATCAGCTACAACTACCTTCTCCACCACTGTCGGCACCGCCACCACTATCCACTAATTTCACGTCCTCCACAAAGTCACCATCATCCACCAACCACTACTGCCTCTACCTCCACAATCATTATTGTTGCAACAACCTTCACCATGCGTTCGCCAATTGATACATATCTTCCAAACTGATTAAAACATAGTTTTTTTTTCTTTTGTACTAACGTGGTTTTTTCAAAATACTATAAACTATATCAAGTTTTCATTCAATTTGGTACTATTATATATGCATGTTTTATGTATATGAAAATTTTGTAAAAATGTTTACAAAATAAATTATTTAAATATTATATGATATATAAAGTTATCAAATAACTTTATATGATATATAAAGTTATCAAATAACTTTATATGATATATAAAGTTATCAAATAACTTTATATGATATATAAAGTTATCAAATAACTTTTAAGAGTAACCTGTCTAGTTATGTTCTATCCAATCCTAATCGTACCAAACACCAGACATACATTTGTCATGTCTGGTCCTGTTTTATCCAATCTTGCAATCTTATTATGTCAAGTTTTGTCTAGTCCATTCATGTCCAATCATATTTGCTTACTAAACGCTACATAGGTAGCTTTATCACCACATCTTCGGTAACATTAGAAAAAAATAAAGATCACAAGATGGATAACCTAAGAAAACACTGCAACAAAACTGAAATTTTAAGACGCCTAGAAGGTCTAATTTCATAATAAAATAATTTATATGACTTCAGTTTATAAGACTAAACCGAAAAACGTCATACGTAAATAGATTTATAAGATGTTTTTAGACATCGTACAAGTTTTAGAACATTTTTAAAATAAAGTTTCGTATTAACTATTTTATATGACAGTGTTTGAAAAAGTGTCATATAAAAAGATGAGTTTATATAACATTTCTCAAATGTATCCTATAAAATAGCTAGCATGATGTGTTATTTTAAAAGCGTCTTAAAAGACTTGTTAAAATACTCAAAAGCGTTTTATAAACCTATTACATTATTTTAAGATATGATGTTTTATAGTTTGATCTTATGAACTAAAGTTATCTATTAAGATGCTTAGACATTCTAGATGTTCTATAAAGCTAATTTGTTGAGTGAGAATAAATATCATATGGGTGTATGTGTGTGTATATATATATATATATATATATATATATATATATATAATCAATATGTGTGTATATGTTTGAACATGAATAAAATTATTATTACATCTAGTTAAAAGACGAGGATCGAAAGCATGTTGTAACAATCCAACAAAATTTAATTAAGTAAAGTAAATCAAACATATTTTGTTTTATCTAACTTTTGTTAGGGTATGAAGTGAGAAAATAGGAAGTACAAGGGCCTGAGTTAGTATATCTTACTTGTATTTTCATAATCATTGATGTTTAAGATTTGATAATCTATATATATATATATAGAGAGAGAGAGAGAGAGAGGCGGGATCAAATGAAAACCGTCTAATTCGAAACCGTGTAAACTAATTTCGACCAATAAGAAAATTCTTTTTTTCTTAATTAAATTTAATCATTAAGGAAAGATTTGTCATTTACATTGTTTTCTATTAAATATGAAAGTTATTAATAAATCTTAATTAAGGTACTATAATAAAGGAAATTTTATAAATGGTAATATTTAAAATGTTTATTTTAATTAGAATTTTAAAAATTGAATATTGTTATTTGGTTTCTTGGTTTATTAGTGGTAATAATATGAAAATCGAAAATTATTATATTCATTAATCCATGTAATCAGTAATAAATCCAAACAAAGATTCATGAACCGGTAAAAATATAATCAGCTATGAAACAGATTCATGTTAGATTTGTTCATTAAAATGTTCATTGAGGAGCTTGTTTTATGAAACGTATGCAGATTGGTTCGTGAAAACGTTCATTGAGAAGCTTGTTTTATGAAACTTTTGAGGATGAACTGGTTGCGTAATATAATATTCTTGCATAATCTTGTTTTCTTATCAACAATATTTGATGAAATTGTTTCATTTTTTTTATTTTATTTTTTGTTTTGTTCACTTAATGGTTAACAAATGATGTAACGGTAAATGCATTGACTTTATGAACCGTGTTCGTATTGGAAGAAATTGGCTGATGAAATTAGTGCATGAAGAAAGTGAAACCATTTCATAATTGATAAGAAAATGGTGTGTAATTAGCAAACAGTTAAACCATTTCATTATTACGATGAAACGGATCCATCTACCAATAACAGTGAAACCATTTCATAATTAGATTGAAACGGATTCATTTACCGGAAACTTGAAAATGACAAATGTCTCATCTAACATTACGTTGATTTGTGTATTGATGAAACTGTGAAACCATTTCGTTCATGAAATGTAGTAGTAATTTTTTTATTATTATTCAAAAGGTTTCATTTGTTAAATTGATTATAGTGTGTTTTATTTTTATTGTTGATCTAATTTAATGATGGATGTTATTTTTTTAAAATATTTAAACATAAAATTAATATATTATTTTACAAATGATTTTGTTTCATTAATATTACGATATACATTATATGGTTACCATTAATATTACAATTACCAAAGTTATCATTTTGTCCTTTTTGGAATTATAAAATAATTTTTTATTTTTTATTTTTTTAATTTCTTAATATAAATTAAACTAATCTTGATCATTGATCAAGAAAATGAATGGATGAGATTGGTTTATATGGTTTACACAAATTAGGGCGGTTTTCATTTGATCGCTCATCTCTCTCTCTCTCTCTCTCTCTCTCTCTCTCTCTATATATATATATATATATATAATAATTATTGGAAAATTTAAAATTTGTATGCTAGAAATGCATATCTAGAATATTTAAAACTACTTTGACAAGTTATTAGATCAAGCATATCTAGTCGATGGTTTTTGTAGTTCTGTGGATTTGTCATTTGTGATTAAATAACATTGACTTTCCGTTTCATATATGCATTAAAATGAATAACTTTTAAAATTTAGTGAAAATATCAAAAGAAACATATTGGATACATTTGGTTTGATATGTTTTATTAGAAACAACATAAAATTTTACGATAATAAATTAAACAAATTCGAATAAAGCATCAAAATTTAAATGCGAGAAAATTTAAACGTTCAATAATTCTTATTTGAAATCGTTGGTTTTTATATATTTGTATACAAATTATGTCATTTGTGTATATAGAAAATCATGCATCAAAAGATAAAAGTCGAAGGTTGAATTATTGTTTTTTTCCGTTTTCAAAAGGGTGTGGTGAATATAATATTGGTCAGTCTAAAGCCTTTGTCGTAGTTGATTTTGTTGTAACTCTAGATCATATTGGCTTATAAAATATTCCAACATATGATACCTATTTAATGTCTTAAATATGAAATGAAAATTAAAGTATAAAAATATTATAACGTGACAAAATTCAAACATGAAATTAGAACTTATATCAATAACGTGTGATCTAGTCTTTGAATAGTTTTCGTTTTTTTACTTAAACCCTAAATTCTAAATCATAAACCTTGAAACAGTAACGAAATAAAGCTATAATATATTGAAAATAAATGCAATTAACAAAATATTTTTGAAAGTTTATTTCACTTCAAACGATCTTTTTTATTAACCGTAATTTTATGTTCTTAATTAAACTGATGTCTAATACCCAATTGAACTAAATCAAAAGCTCATTCCTTTTAAGATCATTTTATCTCAAATTGATGTAGGTTTACATGTTATTTTTCGAAAAAATTGGGTAAAGCTGATTAAATAAGAGATCTGATTCGGACTAGTGTGAACCTAAAATCATTGTTTATTTAGTGATTTGTATTAAATGCTGACTCAATAACAATGATTTTTATTAAGATTAATATTATTATAATATTAATAGTTTAAATATTATTATATTGTTCATTTGATTGATGGATCAAGTCATTCACTCATTTGCGATAAATCAGCACACTAGATGTTTGGAAACTGTAGGAATTCTTTTAAGAAGTAGCAAGATTTATAGAGAGAAACAAGAAGGTAAAGTTATAGTAAAAGAACACAGGATTCGAGAGTTCAAGGTTTTTTTTTTGGGAATAGCAAGGGTACAAGTAGAATAAGCCAACAATAGAAAATATCATTCTCGATAATAGTTACGGCACATTTCTATCGCAAGAACATTGCACAACATTAGTCGCAACCCCGTCACAACCCCCATGACAATTACAAAATGTGCTCGAGAAACAAATTCAGGGCACACAGATTATCACTCCCAAAAGATATCATTATCTCAAGGTACCATATGTCTGTTGTGCAACTCCACACACCCGATATAGCAGGAAATAACTTAATTTCATCAGCCGTAGAAGATGGTAAATTTTGCATATAAAATCATTAATGCACAAAAACCATAATCAATACTCTTAAAACATTTAGTAATGTTCACAAATTATAAACCGAGGTTATAAAACTGGATCAAAATCGGGTCCAGCAAGGCTAGGTCGTGGTTAGATGCATAATTATTTAATATTTTAGAGCATCTTCGATGGGATTTAATTATTTATATAGGTGGGATTTACACAAAGGACCAAGAAGGTCTACACGTCAAAGGAATTAAGGTACGTTCATGTGACTTCACAAAACTGGATTGGCCAGAAACGAGCCAAGGGAAGCATGCCATACATTGGGTCGCTTCTATCAGGTAACCTTGATCTAATAACAATTCTGACCACATTTGTTGACATCATCAACAATAGATGATATTATCCAATATACAAGGTAGGTTAGGCGACTGCAACTGGCTCATCCCTTCTTTCGCTTTCTTCTCAAGTTCGGTATACCAGACAAGTGCGTTACAGGTCTCGTCTGATCATCTTCTTCATTGGACACACCCACCACTATATCAGCCTCAACATTTGGGCTAATTGATGATGCTTCTGTCTCCCCTTCATTGGTTGCTTCATTCAACATTCCGGTCGGCTCCTTGTCACCCTCCTCCTCATCCAAGCAAAACCCACCCCCCATTTTGAGGTACTCTTCAGATAATTCGATCACTGGGCCGCCTTCTTCCTCTTGACACCAATGTTTATCAGAACGGATACCGCTTCCTGACAACATGAATTTGTCGTCATGACTGACCAACCTCTCTTCCTCCCTCGATGGCTCTCCATTGCCAGCAACCTCTCTGGCTTCATCCATTTCAGAGTCTTCATTGTTTGTGGAGGATATCACCGATTTCCTGACACGCTTCGACTGACAACCGCACAATTTATCAAAAACTCATAAACATGGGAATAAAGACATTTCCTAATGGCTTAAAATCTAGAGATTTTGTGGCCTGACTCGATTCAAAGATAACTATTTTCTAAATCTAAATCCATGTAAGCAACAGTTTGATAAGAATGAATGACACAAGTAAAGTGACCAGGAACAGTAGAGCTTACCTTTCGTACTTCATGCTGCCCTTCTGAATGTTCAGCATGCACTTCCTGCACATAGTCGCTGTTGTTTCCATCATCAGAACTCGTCCCAGAAAGTTCCAGATTATACTTTGTTTTCCTTCTCCGTTTTCCAACTGATTGACCTCTTCCTCTTCCTCTTCCTCTTCCTCTGCCTCTGCCTCTGCCTCTGCCTCTGCCTCCAACACTTGATCTTTCCTTGGTGTTTTTCCTCTCTCCCTCTTGAGTTGACAATTCCGATTTCTCTGTAGGAGCGGTAAGCTGCTCTTTTGTTACATCAACATTACCTTCTTCATGCTTCACTTCTTTTCTCTCCTTTCCACTGGATGCATCAAGCTCATCATAATCCATTGACTCAGACGTTTTGCTCCCTGCTATTCCTTTCACAGCCTTGCTTATTCTCTTGCTACGGATTTTCGCAAATCTCTCATTGAAAGTGTAAAATGCTTCCAATCGCAATTGAGTCTGCAACAATGACATCATCAAGCACCATCAAATCAGCCATGTCAGTTTCCTTTTGCATCAACTTGTAAAATAGAAAAGGAAAACTGAAAGAATACACAAAAGAAGACAGAGCACCTCATGTTTGTTGTACTCCTTTAAAACAGGTTGTAACAACTCATCAGCCTTCTGGGTACCCCATCCAAACTTTTCCCAACACAATCTGTACAAAAGCAGAGATCATTGGAAACTATTCTGCAATGCATGCAACCATCAGATATAACTTTGTGGGTTGGAATCTAGCATAAGGACAAATCAAAATTGATCAATTTGAATTATATCTTTGCTACTCACATTGATCCATAGAACCTAACTCTGAACACGAATACCATAATATCAATGGTCGTCTATATCCAAATTGCGTTTTATGTTAGGCATATAGAAGTGCATAACGTATATATGAATCTGCCATAACAGGCTAACAGCCCCAAGAATTTTCACAATCCTCACTACTTTGGCATGTAGCCTTACTATTGCAAGTCAACAACGAAAGGTTCCAAGGAATGCCTACAAAGAATTTTATTATGGAGATGTTTCAAATACAACTCACTTGCGGAGAACAAAAAGATCTGGCTTTCCCCATGAAAAAGGCTCTGTCGACTTGTCTACTTGTGGAGAAGCATATGCAGAAATCACTGCATCACTTGGAAAAGTGGAAGGAATATGCCAGTTTTTGCTCACGTTTCTCTGCAAGTTAAAGTTCAAACAAAGATCAATGATGAAGAAGTAAAGGAAAAAGTATCATAGAAATAACTCTCAGAACGAGAAAGATGATAGCCTCAAGCAAATCTGTACATGCTTATCCATGAAAATTTGCTTCATCCTGTGGATGTCATCATCAGAATTGGTAACACCTTGATTGACTGTAGAAGCTTCTTCAGCACTGCTATTCGATCCTCTCTTCCTCGTACTCGAAGCCTTCCCAAGGATAGTTGGATCTGGTGATTCTATCCACTCACGAAATTTTTGGAGGCCATCTTCCTCGGGAAATGCATTCAGGACTTCTGTAGCATTGACAATACCTATACCACTACAGAATGACACAAATAGAATCAGGGTGCACACGTGAATCTTGAATTATCACATTTACATGAACCACAATCTACACCATATATTACGCAGATCATTCCATTTATCATCAAAACCTCGTCAACAATGTGACAATGAGCACAGAATACTGTAATCTCAGAATACCTAAATGATAATTTGTAAACAAGCCTAGTTAAGACTATTGTGAACAGTAATTGATAACAATAACTGGAGTGCGAGATGTACCAAAGAGCATCTTACCTGATACCTTCCGTGTAATCACTCCCCAGGAGCATTGCCATACGAATCAACTTATCTCGCGTTAAGCCAAGCTCAGTTTCAATGTCCTGACAAAACCATAGGCATCAGATGTACCTACAACTTTTTGAACCCACTAAAGAGAGGAAACTTGATTCCCCAATGTACAAGAAAGCTTAAGACCACAAATAGGACAACAGATAGAAGTGAAAAAATTGAGCTCTAGCTTCACAAACACTGCCAGGCACTATATTTGGTTTCAACAAAAATCGCTAAGTCTTGCACTGCATGATAGTGCTTGTCATATATTATAACCTAAACAGTTTATTGAAAAAAATGATGATTGGATAACAAAGTAGCTTACTTTCAAGAGGTAAGCTTCTCTCCCAGTGCTTGATATAATATCCAATCGTTTCTATAAGATTAAGCATAACCCCTAATGCCTTCTAGACCAAAATTATAGAGCTTATTTACTGGAGGAAATAATATAAATGTCTAAAGAAATAGATAGTTGCCTTTCTTTGGCTAATTACTAAGGAAAGAATATTATTTCCTTAGTATTTAGCATAATTGTCTTCAATTAATCTTCTTGGAATGCCTGTAAGCAAACATGGGCTTGAAACCGTGTGTAACCCTAACATCATACATGACGCATACCTTCATAAAGTACGTCTCTACATATTTCCTGTCATCAAATATGTTTTTGTAAACACTTCTTGCCCCAAACAACAACACATCAGAGTCATCAGTAATAACACCATCGACAAGGTTCTCGAGTTCCATGTATGCACATTGAGCTTCAGCTTCCATTGGTGCGATGATATATGGCAAGCCAAACATTTGAAGAAGTTCCTAAAATATACACGAAATTAATACTTTGTAAGATATATAGACAATTTAAAGAGAATTTTGATGAAGGAATACTGTTAGTGAATAAAAAGAAACAATTAGACGTGTGTTTGTTAATCTGCTACGAAGCCCAACCAAATGTTGATAACTGCAATATTATTGTGTAACAAACAAATTAATGTGCATTTAAAAAAAGGTTGTCAATGTGACACCTGAGGATCCAGGCTTCATTTATGTGGCAGCACATCAACCCCTCTATGTAAGACACAGATGATTTTTTAAGGTTTGTTAAATTTTATTAGTTTGAAGATGCATATCATATTTTATGTATTATCATGACCCAACGTTTGTCACTTTCACCACTTGAATGCATCTTCAATGAATCATCTTCACATCTAACACCACCTATCTCGTTGTGAGCCTCTAAAGATGCCAAACAAGCTGTAGTTCTTACCTGGCATTCTGCAAACATCTCACCGCTTACAGACTCTGCATTGCGCTCAAGCCTTTTTTGTTCATCACCCAGATCTGTGCGCTCCTTGGTTAAATTTGTCATTTCCTCCTCCAAACTAGCCTTCGCGATTTCAACCTGTTCCTCACTCATGTCAGTCAAAACAAATTTGTTGACATCATCTTCCCGTTGCTCATAGGAAGCATAATTGTCCCTTTCCTCAGTAACCTTCAGCGCAACATCAAAGTCATGTTTTGATTCGTTAACAGCGGTTTCTTTAGGTTTTGTTATCTCTGGAATATGGTCACTGACCAAAGCTTTGAGCTCACTTTGTTGAGCATCAGCAAGAGGGGCATCAGGCATGCCAACATCAGGTTTAGAAATATGATTTGTTGTGCACGAAAAAATATTTGAACTGATAGGCGTCTTGGAATTCCCTCCACAATTATCCTCGTGCAACTCGATACTCGATTCAGTTTCATCTTCTTTGGTTGGATTTATGACATCTACATGTTCAGTTTCTCCCTGAGAATTATCTACATGTTCAGTTTCTCCCTGAGAATTTCGATCATCACATGCTTCTCTAATTGAAAGTTCAGGATGGTATTTCAGATCGCTTTGGTAGGATGTTTCCATCCGCACTTCCATTAAACTTGGATCATCTGAAGTAGTCACCTCCAACTGGGTAGTAGGAGAACTATTAGCCTTCTTTATCTTGGTTTCATCCACGCTATCCACCCCATCGTCAACTCCAGCCACAGTTGCAATGGACAGTTTGTTTGGCGGAACACTCTCTGATGGTAATCTTGGAGCAGCTCTGTCCGTTTCTACATATTCAGACACAAAAACTGCACATTCAGTATCCATATTTTTGTTACCTTTAAACTCTTCAGGTGCAGATGATGCATCAATATCTTTCTGGCACCTCATATCTTCCATACTCAGTCTAATTGCTTCCTGAAGATCTGCTTCTTCCAATAAATCCCCTTTCGAGACCGTTTCCCTGCATTCAATTTCACATGCAGCACCTGACTCAGGTTTATCAGAAGGTCCTTCCTCCCATTCCACTTCACTTTCATCACTAGTACTATGACCAGCAAGAAGTCTTTTTCCTTTGGTATCTCCAAGCATTCCCTCTTCCCATTCACAATCTGAAAGAGTCATAGCGGGTTGTTTCGCAGATGAAGTATTATCAGCTGAAGTGACTACTAAGGGATCTCCAGCAACTATACAAGCAAATACATCATCATCGCTGTCTACAAACTGTTGCTCATTGTCATCCTCGAAGGACACCTCTATTGAAGTTCCGCTAACTGGGATAGAATCCTGATTAGTTTCATTGGAGCAAACTGATCGATCATGAAGAGAAGTTCCAGGAAGCTTGGAACTTTCTGGAACTGTGCTTGGGAATGCTGTTTCTTTACAATGGCTAATTCTATCATTAGATTTTATACATGGGTCAATCCTATCCTGTTCAATCTCTTTCATTAGATCCAGATTCCTTTGTAAATCACGAGTCATACGAATTCCCATAGCTCTCACCTTGCTGACTCTTATACTTCCCCTCTCATCTCTGTACGTCTCAACATCTTCATTAAATGCCTTTCTGGGCTTATTCATGATAGACTCAATTGTGCTGTTGGACTTATTGGTTGACACAACATCATTAACAGAACCAGTAGAGGGATGCCTTGTTGCTATCTGGCTTGGCACGTTGCTGTTTCCCTCTACTCCAGAAGATGCAAGGGATCTACAAAGTAAAGCATGTTACTGAACAAGGAAGCCACAAGTGACCATGTCACAATATCAAGGGAGGAAGGACACTGTAAGTTTGTCACCAACAAATACTCACTGCCTATTGCCAGTAAAAGAAGATGAAAAAATAAATTCCCGATTCGCTTCGGATGCTATACGTGAAGTCTTAACTCCACCAATTCCCCTTCCACCAGCTGCTTTCTGCACTTCATCTATCTCCCTACGGAAGGCAACTGTTTTAAGGTAAGCCTCTATTTGCAATTCAGAAAATCTTGCAGGGGCCTACACACACAAAAAAAATGCAATTAAATATCTCAGAATATCCCTGCTTTGCAAAATGCTGTGTCAGTGCAAAAGCATTCATGTGCAGAACGGGAGCAATCCCTTCTGATAACAGCTATGTACCAAAGTATCTTACAGGTCCTATTGACTTGATCAGAATCGAGGATTATGTATATGTTTAATTAAAATCCCTGATTGTCTTTAAGGTAAGCCAGTTGATACTATCCTTCAAGTCCCAATATTTGCCTCTAAGGAAGCAAATTTCACCTGTGTGTCCCAATAACCACATTACAAGTGAACTCCTTTGCCACTTGCATGCAGCATAAGGTGAATTGCCTAGAGTTCCCCCCTGCAGAGCCTTAGCTAACACGTGGCCAAGAACATTCACAAATCAAAATAAATTAGCAATTTAGCATTGCAGAACATGTTAGTACCAGCCAGAATCATATCATGATAACGATCTCACTTTTAAATACAAAATGGAAAATTCTAAAGTAGGAAAGAGGTAAACTAAATAAATTTCACAAAAGGTGATGACCACAGGCCAACATGTATTCCTCAGACTTGAGATATAACCTTGGAAAGGGTGGGGAATGGAAATAGTACAGGTCAAATAAAGGCAGCCAAAACATTTAGTCATCAAGTTGAAAAACAAATACCTTCTTGACTTTTTGATATTTTTGTCGGTTCTCTGCCATCAACCTCTCTCTCATCTACAAAAAACAAGGCCATGTCTTAGTATCAATCAAGAAAAGCTGTTTAAACTTGCAGAAGACATAAACGATGTTAATGTCTGCACTTACTTGCACAAGAAGATCAAGTTGCATAGATGGTGGTAAAGCAGCTAGAACGGCAGGATCAACCTTTCCTTGTAGTGCTGGCTGAAAAATCAATTGGATAGAAGAAATATCATGAGGCAGGAACATCAACATTACATCTCCATTCAACTGTAGTTTTATGGTATATCCTTGAAATATGGGCCAAGTATCTCGAGAGTAACAGTTGGTCCATATTCCAATAAAAATTAAGTGACGTGATTTGTCCATCTAGATGCTGTTTAATGTTCTAGTTGCGTTAATCAGAAACTTCTTTGGATAGTGACACTTAAATTCTACATGTGTTTATCTAGATTATATTCTGAGCTTTGCCACTGGATACCATTTAACTTAGCAACTCTGTTGAGTGATTTACTTAGTTCCCAAAAGCCCACGTTTTCATGTTATAGAACTATAATCTACGACCACCCTTTCTCATCTGAAGCCGCAGAATTGACACCTGAAAATGCCAGCATGAACACAAACGAAAAATGACCAGAACTTGATTAAAAAAAACTGTTGAGTGGATATAACAAGAGAAACAAAAAGAAAACAACTACACTATTCTGTATTAAATAAGAGCAACAGACTGCTGGTGCATTTCATAAGGGTCTTAAACTAGTTGCTATTTTTTTTTTTTGATTAACCTGGATATCCAACTCGCTATGCGAGCCGACTAATCCCAGGGTGACCACCTACTTTGCATGTAGTCCGGAGTCACCGCATTTAGAGACAACCGGACCGCTAAACAGTTCATCGAGGGTAACCCCAATAAGGCCCGAATAAAAGACCCAAGCCTACATGGACCATCTTCTCTTCTTTAACTAGTTACATGAATAGCCTATTGGGCTAGTAGGGGATTTTTATTCCTCCTTGGATTTGAACCTGGGACCTCCATGCACTTTTGACCTTTGGAGCCCAAGCTCAAACCAATCAGGCACCACCCTTGTGGTTAACTAGTTGCTAATTTTTAACATTGTGAAAAATTATCACAAGCAGAGTGCAAATTTGGAGCATATAACTTGTTATCGTCAGGAGGACAGCTAAATTACACATCTACAATCTTGTCATGGTGTCAGTACCCAATTATTCTACCAATTTGTACAGGTGATCACTTTGTAAAGGGCAAAGGGGTAAGCAAGATTATGTAAGAATGGCAATTGTACCCCTCAAACACCATCAAATAGTTGAGCTACAACAAAATACACAGTATCTTTGCAATGCAAGTAGCTATTGTGTTATATTGCTATGTATAAGGGATAATCTGGTGAGAGAAAAAAACTGAAACTTGCAAAATTCTTTTTCAAACTCCAACCAACTTCATTCATCAATGATCTCCATCTCTTAAATAATAAGCTAACTTACAAGTATCATCTCTTCATCATCATCTCCATCTTCATCTTCTGCAAGAAACCCAGCACCAGATGTTGATGCATCACCTATAAAACCTTCGCCTTCCTCTGCCTCAATGGATGCTGCCAACCTTAACCACCAAGTAAAGAAAGAAAAAAGAGAATTTGAATCATCCAGGTCCATCCTAGAAAAAAAAAATTGTATATGATAAAAAGATAGATGTTCTTACATGGCATCCAAAACTTCTTGATCGAAAGCTTTTGTATCCGATGAATTTGTATTTAAAGCAGTCCCAGAAAGATCAGCGTGGTCTGTGATCACCTTTTTTCCCTTATCACCGTTGTTCTTTCTCTGATTCTCCAAATCATTTGCCAGTTCTTTCAGCCTCGTTGCCTTGAGCTATAGCCAATTAATACAATCATATTATACTAAAGCACCAAAGTTTAGCTAATAAATCGCGTGAACTAATAGTAGTCTTGACTGCCGCTGATTATCCCTTCCCCCTTGATTCCCAAAAGAGATACAAGTTGTGAAATATAAGATTCAATGAATCCTCAATATCACAGAAAGGAAAATGCAAAGAAGAACATTATCAACGAATAACTCACATGACTAAGAAGTAACTTTTCAGCAGTTTTCCGGATCTTGGCTTGAGCATTCTCACGCTGACGACGACGTGCAATTACGGTTCTTCGCTTTAGGGCAGGTGTGCCACCGTCAAAAACAAACACTGGTTTTGTCCGCAGAAACAGTAGCTTGCAAATTCGTCGAAAAAACCCTAATATGTGCGCATTCCTCACCATATCTCCCCGTTCATCTCGCATCGCTTTCATGAACTGTATCATCCATATGCTGGCATCTGTAAAAGTAACCCACTACCATTTAAACTCAAACAAATAAAAGTGTAAATTCGTATTAGAAAATCAGCGATCTTAGACACATATTTTATGATGAATATGCAGATAGAAAGAGAGACCAATCGCGAGTCTTTTGCCGGCGAGGGTTTCAACTGAGACACGTCGGCCGACGGGAGATAACAGGTCCCAAAGGCCGTGAACACCCATATTTTCCTCCGCAGACTAACGATTCCAATGTCCGTCTATGATTGCCGCCAATTTCTTGAAGGGTCGGTGAGGGGTGAAGAAGAGCATCGACTGGAAACGACACCGTTGCTATATTTTCACTTCGTTTTTCAAATGGCAAATAATTTGATTCCTAATTTTTCGGACAAATTGCATCGACGGTTTTGTTTACACCCCGGTATATATAGTTCAATTTCAATAAAAGGAAAAGGGATTTATCATGTGGTTAATTGGAAAAACAGGAATTATCTGTAATTTAACCAAACCTTAAGGGTAAGTTTTGTAATTTAATAAGATTAAGACAAATACCACTTTTTTTTCTTTTTTTTTTGAACGGCAGACAAATACCACTTGGGTTACCAAATCAAGTTCCAAGAGGAAGAGATAGTTGGATTCCTTCGTATCATCGTTTTAAGTTCTGGAGGTTTTACATTTTTGTGATTAAGCGAGATCCGAAGATTTTTAAATGGATAATATGGGAGCCACAAATCGCGAATTCGAAGATTTATTTCCAGAGAAAAAGCGTGTCAGGAATCCTTTCGTTCCCATTGGTATCGATCGACTTTCTTCGAACCCTGGTTTTACTTGTTAATCATCGACCTGCAAATTTACGGATTTGCCATGCGTTATAGATTGTTTATTTAGTTTCCATGATTTTTCTTCCTCCATGCTATTTCATCATTACAGTATAAAATCTTAGGTATGATCATGCTTTGCTGCTTCATTCCTGTGTCTGGAATTATTAAGCTTATTGATTCCAACATTCGAAATCAGCTTATTAGCTAAGGGTCTTGTATAGAGATGCAAGACTGAATATTCGAGTTGTGTTGGATCCAAATAGCAGAATCGGTAGTGTTGAGATGATGAGGGCTTGGCATGATATGTGCAATAACCGTAATTGCCTGATGTTAGATCCTAATAGTAGAATCTGTAGAATTGAGATGATGAGGGACAGTTAAGTGCAATAACCAAATGGTTTCTTGAGGCATTTTTTTGGCTAACTTTGAGAATAGACGAACTAAGGTTCTAATGAACTACAGCTATCGTAGATTATATGAGGTCCATAATGCTTAATCAAAGGACCGACTGGGTTCCAGTAATCCTTGTCAAAAGAACACATTATGACCGTTGCCAATCTTCCTGAGGACATAAGGCAACATGAGATCTCAAGGCTTCAAAATTTTCATCCTGTTACAAGATAAAGCATAAGGGCATTTCACATCTCAAACGTTTGCCCTCATCATAGGCTTGACACTGCTTCTCCCAAACATATTGCAAACACTCCACAAATGCCTAGTCTTGTTCCATTGTATGTAAATCTGGATCCGCCATGCACAAATGACAGATGTCAGGATTGCATTGATTTTACCCTCCCAGACCGCACCTCCGGGTAAGGTATACCGGATTCGTTTGGTTTGGTTTGGTTATCCATGAACAAGTTTCTTTTTGACACTTGAACAAGTTTCAGAAAGTTGGAAATGAGATTGTATGCATACTTATTACTCAATTTAAGGTATCAATGTAAACCACAGAAATTTTCATCAGCAATCATTCAAATTCTTCAGGTTACCTTTAGTATGTGTAAAGTGTGCTTCAAGATAAGTACCTTGGTTGCTGCTCAAATTTTGTGGTGTTTATAATCCATATTAGTATATCATTTTGTTGCCTCTCAATTTCATACCTGAGATTTGTTTCCAGGTGCGTTGCTGACAGCAGGGGTGCTAACAGCTGGTTTAATAAGTTTCAAGCAAGGGAATTCTGAGTTGGGTCAGAAATTGATGCGAGCTCGTGTAGTAACCCAAGGTGCAACGGTTGCGCTAATGGTTGGCACTGCAATCTATTACGGGGAGAAGCTCTGAAGGGTCTTCATGAACCTGTTCCTAAGTGACCATTTCTTACCTTTGGGGTGCAATATGTGTTAAACCCCTGGGTGTCTAATGCTTCAAGTTCTTAATAGCTGATAAATGATTTACCTTTTTGGTGAAATATGGATTCATTTTTGTTTTACATCTGAAAAAAGCAATAACACAACCGGAAGCCTGAGAATTTCCTTCTGATGCTAGACAATTCTCGGTGTATGTTTTGAAACGATGCAGTTACTAAATGCAAGAGTGAAAACATCCTTGTTGAGATCTTGTGTCATCAATGTTGACTATTTACATTTTTTTTTATTCATATGAAATTTCTTTAATATTCATATATGAATCTTCTCTGTAAGCTTTACTTATTACCTTATCTCGATATTTAACTTTGTTATTTGAACCTTCCACCAGTAAACTAATATGATTGATTTGTATAGATCAAGGAGTCCGTGTATAAAGTTTTAGGGGGAGTTTAGTTTGATTAAATGGTTTTGAGAGATTTGGATTTTCTTTAACCGGAACGGAATTGAATTGCATTCCTAATGGATAATTTGTTATTGTAATAACAAATTATAAATGATTATAATAATTAAGTTACTTTTTATTAATTGATTCTTTAAAAACAAATAGTTTTAACATATCCTTAAACATTATTTATATTCGATGAATTTTAAATTTATGAAATTAAAATGGATTTAAATTCTAAATCCCTAAATTCATTTCATTCCTCCAAACTAAACACAACACAATAATCATGTAAATAATTAAAGATTTTTATTATTTACTATTTTATCCAAATTTTATAAAATTACCGATTATAATCATCTCCATCTGATTGAATTATTAACATTTATATTTTATAATTTTGTTTGATCAAGAATTAAGATTGTGAAAAATTAGTTTGAAAATAGAGAAATGATTTTTTAATAGCCACAAAGGAATCAATTAACAAATATCTTTCAAGAATTTGAACTGAAATTGGATCGTAAAGGCTAAGCCTATAAAATCAGAAATTATTTTATGTTGATGGGTTCTGAAGGAGCCGTTAGAACATCTTTGTTAACGGGAAGAAATCTTCCCCAAATTATGCATTCGCTATTTCAATTTTCCCTTTGGAATTCTCCATGCTCATCAAAAACCTCCATCAGGAAGGAGAATTAGGGTTAGGGTTTACGACAGCAAGCCGCTAATCCAACATTCTTGTTTCTCAATTTTTATAATTTCAACTTTAATGGCATCAATACCAAGTTATATCGGCATTGATGAAAAATTATCCGAAGAGGCCGTGGTCCCCCGGAGAGGATGTTGTTTCTGGACGCCGTGTATGCATTGCGATCGTCTTACGTTTTCCATCGGATCGAATTGGTGGTCAGGGATCGCGGATGACGCTAAGACCGACGTTAATCGGTGTTGGTATAAAGGATTATCACCGTTTAAGAAGATCAAGGAATGGTCGGATCTTATCGTCCGTCCGAAGCTCAAGGCGCTTATCCGTCGGTTTAACAAACAACGGTGTAGGCAGGGCAATTTCCAGTACGATCTAACAAGTTATCTGCTTAATTTTGATGAAGGTCCAGGACATTCGGAAGGCAATCATCGGCTGTTACGCAATTTCTCGACGACGTACACATCGATTCTGATCCCCGCGAAATCTTCGATTAAGTTAGGCGATGATAGGCCGGCATTCACGTGATTATCAATTGAGCTTGATTTCAGATCGCCGGTGAATCAATGCAGCTCCGAGGGTGATAACCTAATATAACATGAACATCCGCCGGTAAACGTAACATCCGCATGGCGCCGGGTGCGTTGCGTTCTTTTGACTTCCGATGATCAGTTGATCGAGTCTTTATTAATTACTTTTCTGAAACATTTTCTTTAATTTTCTCAATTTTTATAATGCATGGTATTAACATTTTTTTTCTTTTAATTCATGCAAAATTAAAACTTGAATCAGCACGTTGCACCTAAATCAGGTCTAAAATTGACAAGCGTTTACCGATTGATAATTGTGTCTTCCTTCGTACAAGGTAAGATTTTTAATCCTTATCGGAAATGAACCGATAAGGACTTACCAGATTAAGTGTTTAATAAACAGCCTTTTAGAAAAGTTTAGATTTATCTATTTTTATGTATTTTTGTACGATTATTTATGTCTATTAGATCGATATAAAAAGCTTGGTTACTTGTTAAAATTTGTTTATCCCAAAAGTATCTCCAACAAATTCTTCGTAACAAATATTTTGGAGATTTTTGTTCGATGAGATTTCTCAAAACCTTATTTAAAATGAAGAAAATACGGGTGATTTCTTCAAATATGAAGAACTCTCTAGAAAATGATTAGTAGTTATGAAAGAGAAAATTATTTTTTATTCTTCCTATCAATAAAAATCCCTAAAATTAAATGTACAAGAAAAAAAGATAAGATTTTATCAAATTTATTATATTTTTTAATAATATAATTAATATTGTAATCTTTAAAAACAAAAATGTTAGAAATTAAAAAAATTAGGCGTAGTGAGGTAGCGTATGATACGCAGACATGACAGAACATGACAAGAGGGTAGCACAAGACTAGACAGAACCTAGCGGTGATGACCATTAAAACAAATATCATATTAAGGTTATATATCAAACTATGATAGATTAGTAATATTTTAGTTTATGTTTCATCTTCTTCCACCTATTTTGGTAGAACAAGAAAAAGCTTCTTTTGTCTCATATTGTCCCACCTTATCATAGTTCTTGTCTGTATTTCATGTCGTGTCAAACGTGGAACGGTGAATTATTGTTCTGTCTCATGTTGTACCAAATATGGAACAATGAGTTATGTTACATCATGTCTTGTCTCATTCCATTCCGTCCCGTCCGTCCCATCCCATGTACCACGAATCTATTTGGATGTTATAAATAAAGTAAAATATTATTTTTAGAAAAATGAAAGGGAAAGGTGATGAGAAAGCAAAGATGCAAGGAGCAGGCGGTTGCCTCCCTGAATACAAAAGTTTGATACCATCATACCATGACATGCCATGCCATGCCCTACTCATATATATTTTGAGTTCACCCTTTTCCTCAATTAATCTCCTGCTATTTCCTCAATTGAACTCTTTTTAAATTCGTTACATTTTTAGTCTTAAATTGGTCGAATATCCTAAAAATATGATGGTATTAGAACCATATGGCTGAACCAGAACCAAAACACATGGATAGAAAGAGCAATCCCACCATCCCCATTTTTAGAACCAGCAACAAACAAAAGATTCTTACACTACATCCACATCTACATCTGTTGGATAAAAATAATAAATAAATATAAAAAAAGTAAAAGTAAAAGTAAAAGACAATTTTCAAAAGCAAAAGCAAAGTTTCCCCTTAAATTATGCTCTTCTTGAAGGCAAAGCAGTTGTAAAGATGTTGCTTCTTCAATTCTTAATCAAGAAAGTTTCATATTCATTCATCTCCATCTTGATTAGGGTTTCTTTTCCTTTCAGATGCAACCCATTTAATTTAACCACTTTGAAGTTCTTGCTTCTAACCCATTAAATTTAACCACTTTGAAGTTCTTGCTTCTAACCCATTAAAATTTAAAGAAAACCCCAGTTTATGTTTCATGAAACATGCTCATTTATCAGTATCAAACACCAGATGCTATCATTCTAAAGAACTGCTAATCATTGAAAATTAAATACTAATTATAATAAACAGGATTTAAGATTTAAGATTTAAGAACCAAAATCTTTTCATCTACCTTGCATTCTTCCCATCCAAGGTAATTCCATGTCAACTGAAGAATTCTCTGAACAACTTGCAAATTTTCCCTTCTTAGGCCATAACCAAATCTTTGAAACCGAATAACTATCGGTTTTAGCTTTGATTGTGATCTTCTTCCCTTCCGTCTCCTCACTAACCCTTAGATTTCCATTTGCATCTTGGCTGTCTCTTTTGCGGTTTAGGGCCACCTTAAGACTTGTATCACCAACCACATACTCATATGAACCCATTGAATAGCATCTTCTTGCATCCAAATTACTGCTGCTACTAGACTCTCCACCTGTCTCCTCTTCACCTTCAATCAATTTTCTGAACTTCCCAAGTCTCACCAAGATAACTCCTTTCTCAGCAATCATTTGTTCAGGTTCCATTGTCTTTGGACCAGCAGCTAACCCACTCTCATCTGCTTCCCTCGTATCATCGAATTCGAAAATCGGGTTATCCATGGAAAACCCAGGATTGAAAAGGGTATTTCTGCAAAGGGGACATGTTGAATTCGATAGCAGCCATGTATCGATACAGTTCATATGAAATGCATGGCTGCAGGTGGGGAGCAATCTCAATTTATCCATCTCACGGAATTCAGACAAACAAACTGCACAATCAAATGATTCTTTAGCACCCACAACCTCTGTGTACATGAAAACAGGCAAGGCATCAATAAAGGCTTGATCTAAGCCTGAATCATGAAGATGAAAAAGCTGTTGAAGCTGTCTTTGAAGTGCATCTGAGGTAGAACCATCTGGGTATCTAGTAGATTGAGATGGATTGGAGGAAGAATGGTGCTTTGTCAAGAATCTCACAAGCAAGTGAAGCAAACCAGATATGAAAAACAAGAGGGCCAAGATTACAATGATGAAAAGAACAGCTGGGTTGATCTTAGTGCCTGAAGAAGAAGATAAAGTGTTTGATGTTTTATGAATTGTAACAGCAAATGGAGGTGAAAACGATGATGAATACAGATGGGGTTGTTGGAATTCCACATGTCTCTTGTGGATTTCATATTTCAACCAAGACATTTTTACATGGGTATGTTTAGAAACCCATCTTTCTTCTCCAAAATCCATCATCATCTGCTTAAAAGATCATTGGTTGATGATAATTCAAACCCTTAAGCCCTGAGATTTGGGCAGAGCAGGTGGGTATCTCCCAAGAACGTTGTAGTGAACAGGATGATTTAAAAAAGCTTTGTAGGTTAATGAATACGATTTAGAGGAGATGATGAAAAGGGAAGTGGTGAATGTATGTATATATTGGAGAGGCAGCAACAGGAAGAGCAGTTAAAGAAAGAAAATGCAAATAAATGGTTTGGGTGAGAGATGGGAATCATATGATGACTCGTATCAAGATTACAAAAAGTAGATTGTGATGTAGACCTTGGAATTGGAGCTTCCAAAACTCCATTGATGAAAATAGACCGTCTTTCTCGTCTAAAAACTCGATTTTCATATTAAAGAAAAAGAAAAAGAAATTATTCAAATTTGTGTAAGGGTATATATTTGTGTAAATAATTTAGATAAACCAGAATGATACTCGTGTAATACAGTAAGATACATCTCGATTTTAATGTTCTATTTGATTTTTTGTATCTGTCGATGTTATAATATATTTCTATGTACTTTTAAGAAAACAATAATGATTTTATTTTTGAATAAAATATAATTTGAAGATATCATAAAAATTTGAAAAAAAAAATATCAATGTTAATATCAAATCAACTATGTAAAAGTTTTTGTTTTTTATATAATTTATTTAATTTTTTTTATTATAATTTAATTTAGGTTTACTAATGAAACAATTTATGTTTGGTTTATAATATAACATTTTATAAAGATAATAATTAAATATTCTGTTAGAACTCAATGATTATCCTAATTATATTTTTTTATATTTAAAATGAGATGTTTATCTTATATTTGATTATGTTTATATGCAGTTAGTTACACGAATTCATATATGAAGCTTTAATAAGTTGTACTTACGCATAATCTATTTGTAATCTTGAGTTTTAAGTAATATGCATTAATAAACAGTACTTTATGCATAAAAAATGGTTTTTAAAGATTTTTTGTCAAATGTTTTATAATATAGTATAGATAATTTGTTTTTTCAATCTGAAAATAGGTTTTATGCAAATGCGTAATACTTCTTACTTATGAAGATTAAAGCCTGACTTTATAAGATGTCAAAGATTCGGATATTGTAGGCCGAAACTCTTTTAACATTATTCGTAATGTTGTGAATTTATAATTACATTTATAATTTTATACCATTATGTCATGTCTATACTATATTATAAAGCATTTGGCTAAAACTCTTAAAAAAAACTTTTAAAACTCTTAAAAACTCTTAAACCAGATTTCATCTCTATCCAATTTCATCCTATATCTGAATTCGTATAACTAACTGCATATAAAAACAATCAAATACATGATAAACATCTAATTTTAAATATAAAAAATCTAAAATATAATTAGGATAATTATTGAGTTCTAACAGAATACTTAATTATTATATTTATAAAAT